AGGATATTGATAAGTTCCAAGGAGGGATTGGCATCTGATGAAGCAGAGAGAAGGCTTGCTGTCTTTGGCCAAAACAAACTTGAGGAGAAAAAGGCAAACTTTCTAATCTTACTGCTTTTTGTTTCCTCTTTTGCTTTATGGTGATTAGAATAGGGACAACTAATTGTTTGAATCCTCATATATATAAAACAGGAGAACAAGATCTTAAAATTCTTCGGTTTCATGTGGAACCCCTTGTCATGGGTCATGGAAGTTGCTGCTTTCATTGCCATTGTATTGGCAAATGGACAGGTTAGTTCTCTGTCGAATAAGTCACACACATTCCTCATTCTGTACACATATCTAATAATAGTACTGTTTTTTAATCTGTTTCTATCAACGAGCTTTATTGTTTTGAGATGATCAAATGCAGAATAGGCCTCCAGATTGGCAAGATTTCCTTGGTATCGCGGTTTTGCTTGTTATCAACTCCACCGTCAGCTTCATTGAAGAAAACAATGCAGGCAATGCTGCAGCAGCACTGATGGCAGGCCTTGCTCCCAAGACAAAGGTAAATTCTGATAACAAAGTAAAAAAATTTTTAAAAAAAAAAAAAAAAAAAAAACCAACAATTCCATTTATTGTGAAGAGAATTTTCTGTCTTCTTTTTGGTTCATATCCAACTTTGTTTCCTCAAAAGGTATTGAGAGATGGTAGCTGGAAAGAGATGGATGCAGCAATGCTAGTACCAGGGGATGTGATAAGTATTAAGTTGGGAGATATCATACCAGCAGATGCTCGTCTACTTGATGGTGATCCGCTCAAAATTGATCAATCTGCTCTCACGGGTGAGTCATTACCCGTGACAAAGAACCCTGGCGAAGGAGTGTTCTCTGGTTCCACCTGTAAACAAGGTGAAATTGAGGCTGTTGTCATTGCCACTGGAATCAGTACCTTTTTCGGAAAAGCTGCTCACCTTGTTGATAGTACCAATAATGTTGGCCACTTCCAGAAGGTAAAATTTGATATTTTTCTAGGTACTGAATTCTGATCGAAAAGTTGAATTTCACGTTAGCAAACCATGTTTTCAGTAAGTTGACCAGCAAACATTCTTGCACTGTTTCTAATATTATTCCCAAATAATTTTCATATTTGATGGTTTGAAAGCATATTAGATCTGTATAAGATTTTCAGTAGTTTTTTGTTTTCCAACTGATTTTGATGATTTTGACAGGTTTTGACAGCAATAGGAAACTTCTGCATATGTTCCATTCTGGTTGGAATCATCATAGAGATATTGGTGATGTACCCAATTCAGCACAGAAAGTACAGAGATGGAATTGATAATCTGCTTGTTCTTCTCATTGGAGGAATTCCAATAGCTATGCCTACTGTATTATCAGTTACTATGGCAATTGGATCCCACAAGTTGTCGCAACAAGGTGCCATCACTAAGAGGATGACTGCTATAGAAGAGATGGCTGGAATGGATGTACTATGTAGTGACAAGACAGGAACTCTTACATTGAACAAGCTTGAAGTAGACAAAAACTTAGTTGAGGTTGGTGAATTAACACGCCGTTCTAGTATAGTGTTTGAAGAGATAAGCCAAAAAGTAAGCTAACTAGATTGTCTTGTTGGGGAGGGGTGGTACAGGTTTTCGCAAAGGATATTGACCAAGATACAGTTATTCTTCTCGGGGCCAGAGCTTCAAGGGTGGAAAACCAGGATGCTATTGATGCTTGCATTGTAGGAATGTTGGCAGATGCCAAAGAGGTAGTAATTAAAAGTAGTATCAAATTCAACTTGCTCATAATTTTGGTTGTGGAAAATACTCACTTAATTTCAGCGTGCTTGAGGCAAATTTATCTCTGCACGTCTGATAGGCATCATTAGCCAGCTTTGATCATTAGATTAGTTCATCAACTTACGTGTACCTGAATTTTAGATTTATTTGTGCTCCCTAGGCTAGAGCTGGGATCCAAGAAGTGCACTTCTTGCCTTTCAACCCTGTAGACAAGCGCACAGCTATTACTTACATAGACGCCAATGGCAATTGGCATAGAGTTAGCAAAGGTGCACCTGAACAGGTAAGCCATAACTTGACACTTCTCTCTCTGTCTTATAACTGAGTGGTAATGTGCTTGATCATTTGATTTGTTTTATCAGATCATTGAGCTTTGTGGCCTAAGCGAGGATGTGAAGAGGAGAGTTCACTCTGTCATTGACAAGTTTGCTGATCGTGGTCTTCGCTCTCTTGCAGTGGCTCAACAGGTGAAATTTAACAAAGCAAAGTCTCTAGTATTGTATTTCTTTTGTGCATCAAACTGAAGCCAGTGTTTGGTTCTTTGTAAATACAGACAGTACCAGAGAGGACAAAGGAAAGTCCAGGAGGGCCTTGGCTCTTTGTAGGACTCTTGCCTCTTTTTGACCCTCCAAGGCATGATAGTGCAGAGACAATAAGGCGCGCTCTTGTCCTTGGCGTCAATGTCAAAATGATAACTGGTGATCAGCTTGCCATAGCCAAGGAGACTGGTCGGAGGCTTGGTATGGGAACTAATATGTATCCTTCTTCTTCCCTCCTGGGGCAGAACAAGGATGAAAATACTGCTAATCTCCCTGTCGATGAGCTCATTGAAATGGCTGATGGCTTTGCTGGTGTCTTTCCAGGTAACTTTCTCCATATTTTTCCCGCAAATATTTCTTACTGTTAGCAAGCCGTCCTCCCTGATTTTAATAACTGTGCAGAGCACAAATATGAGATTGTGAAGAAGCTCCAAGAAAGAAAGCACATTTGTGGCATGACTGGAGATGGTGTGAATGATGCCCCTGCTCTGAAAAAAGCAGATATAGGCATAGCTGTGGCTGACGCTACTGATGCTGCCCGTAGTGCATCTGACATAGTTCTCACGGAGCCAGGACTTAGTGTGATAGTGAGTGCTGTATTGACCAGCCGAGCTATATTTCAGAGGATGAAGAATTATACCATTTATGCTGTTTCTATAACCATCCGAATCGTGCTAGGCTTCATGCTCATTGCACTTATATGGAAGTTCGATTTCTCACCTTTCATGGTTCTTATCATTGCCATTCTCAATGACGGAACCATCATGACCATATCTAAAGACAAGGTGAAGCCGTCACCCATGCCTGACTCATGGAAACTGAGAGAAATTTTTGCCACTGGCATAGTTCTTGGCACTTACCTAGCCGTTATGACTGTTATCTTCTTTTGGGCTGCTCACCAGTCAAATTTCTTCAGCGTAAGTAAATTGTGTAAATTTCTTCAGTAAATAATAGAACTGCTCCCCCATTCTTATTGCTTGAGCTTTATCTCATGTTGCTTATCGATCCACTAGATATTTTATATCCCGATCTCATGCTTCAACTTGGCGTTGTATTTGCAGGACAAGTTTGGGGTAAGATCGATTAGAGACAATGTACACGAGCTAAATGCAGCACTATATCTTCAAGTCAGCATCGTTAGTCAGGCACTCATATTTGTAACTAGGTCAAGGAGTTGGTCTTATGTAGAACGTCCTGGTCTCCTTCTGCTAGCTGCTTTTGTTATAGCACAACTGGTAAGTTGGTTGGTTAGATTCCAGTTGCAGATTAGTAGTGAACACCAATTGTCTTATACTTGTAGTTTCCTTCACCTCTAATGATTATTTATTATATGTTTCAGGTTGCCACCATAATTGCAGTATATGCAAACTGGGGTTTTGCTAGGATTCATGGTATTGGTTGGGGTTGGGCTGGTGTTATTTGGCTTTACAGTATTATTTTCTACATACCTCTGGATATTTTAAAATTCGCCATTAGATACACTTTGAGTGGCAGGGCCTGGAATAATATGATGGAGAACAAGGTACTTCACATCAACATTCACATCAAATTATTTATCACCTAACATGTAATGACACTTTCCTGCTTTTCACACCGGTGCAGGTTGCTTTCACAAGCAAGAAGGATTATGGTAGGGGAGAAAGAGAGGCACAGTGGGCGTTGGCTCAACGCACATTGCACGGACTTCAACCTTCTGATAGTTCCCAGGTGTTCGACAACAAAAGCTATATGGAATTGTCTGAAATAGCCGAACAGGCCAAGAGGCGTGCTGAAGTTGCCAGGTACTTGTGATTGATAGACCATTTTCAACTGCTTAGTGTTTGTAATGATTTCTAAGTTGTAACAGTTTTCTAATCGATTCTTTTGCATTTGTTAATAGGCTAAGAGAGCTTCATACTCTAAAGGGGCATGTGGAATCAGTGGTGAAGCTCAAGGGACTTGACATTGAGACAATTCAGCAACATTACACGGTTTAGTACAGAAGTCAGTGGGGGAAGTTTTACTAGTTGAAATAAAGGGTTAGAAATAAGGATTAGAGAACTGTTTCTAGGTTCCCTCTTTCCCTTCCTTTCGTTGTTGATTTTCGGAGATAGTGATGTTGATATGCGATAGGAATAATCTAGCAAAGAAGCTTGGAAAGCAGAGGTCTCGTAAGAGAGCTAGACAGTTTTGCTTTTAGCTTGTAGTAGTACTCCTATTATTCTACTAGTTTTAACTTTTTAACTCGTTATTTAGCCAGACTTACAAATTGCAGCATTCAAGTTTAGTGTTTTTATTTTAGTAGCTTAAGAATATAATCATTTTCCTCATCCTTTCAAGCTTTTTTTAATAGAAACAAACATCGGTGACTTGTGAGACTTGAACCAAATCTTAACAAGAATTTGAGTAGTAGCTCAGTAGTTGCAAGGTTGAGTCCATGCGGAAGCTAACAATAACAACAACAATATCCAAACCAAAATTCAGGGCAAAATCCTAACAACTATTTCCTGCGGTACTTTAAGTGTGTGGTTCAAAGAGAGCAATTTTAACACGAGGATCATCTCACGCTATCCTAATCTCAATAATGAACTAAAGTTAATGAAGAAACTAAGATATTTCCTTTTCTAAGTGATTGCTCATAACTGATGGAATAGAAAGATAATAAAAGAGAGAGTTTCTTGTCTAAAAGCCCACAATGGATCAAATAGTTTAAGCGCATAATATAATTGGCAACTAAATTATGATACTATCTTCATACATCAAATGCACTTAAGTTACATAACTTAATATTGTTTCTTGATTTGAGCAATTGCATCAATGAAATAAATTTTGCAATGGACAAGCTTACAATAAAGTAAGTGATCTGCTTAAAATAAATTAGTACTTCTTCAATCTATATCCAGCTTTATTTAGAAACCACAATGCTCCTTCAGCTGCATTTTCTGCTGCTGCTTTCTTCTTTGAATGTGGATTGCCCATACACTCTATAGTTGTTGTACGTGGTCCTCTTATTTCCACATTTACTTTGAAGGTGAACCTGCATTTAGCTTCTCCTTCTCACTACTCATTATACGTTTAAAATCTATAAATTTGCTGACAATAACAAAGTACTATACTAGGAATTTGCTTTTGAATTGGAAATGGAATGAACATACAACTTCAGGTGGTCTGGACCTTCCTCGTTGCAACATCCAAATAATGGCGCTTTCCAATGATTTACTGCACAAATCTCGTACAAATGTGATTTTGCTGAGCCCTGATTTTGAGTACCTTAAAGAGTTATCACGCAAAAATATAGGCTCTATTAGAAAAAATCAAACATACTTTTTGCACTTACCATAAACAACCCCTTGTTTCGGGCAAGATTATAATATATTTAAGTTTCCATTGATGCTTTGAGATTTTGGAATAACTTTTTATTATGATGAAAATTTAGAAGTTCATTTCATAATATTGTTTGTTAATCTTGAATGTTTTGTCTCTCATTGGTGTTAACCAGTAGTAGGTGACGCGAATGGCATGTAAGGGCAATAGTAAAGACAATATCAACTTCTGTATATGATAACCTTTTGAATGGGACAAGGATGTTTGTTGAGTTACAAATATAATTGATTTCACAATTTTAAAACATTTAGTGAATAAATTGATTTTGATTCAGATTATCTGACATTTGAAAAAATTATAATTCATTTTATTATTTTCTATTAAAAAATTCCTTACTTTTTTAATTAATAAAGTACCAATAAAAAGATTAAAAAAATTGAGGACAGACAAAAAATTAAGCATGTCGTATAAAATTGTAGAGAAGAAGTTTCATAATATTGCTTGTTAATAATCTCGAATGTTTTGTCTGTCATTGGTGTTAACCAGTAGTCGGTGAACGAGTGGGAAGTAACGGCAATAGTAAAGACATCATCAACTTCTATATAAGATAACCTTTTGAATGAGACAAGGATGTTTGTTGAGTTACAAATATCATTGATTTCACAATTTAAAACATATAGTGAATAAATTGATTTGATTCAAATAATCTGACATTGGACAAATTTAAAATTCATTTTATTATTTTCTATTAAAAAAAGCTCCTTGATGTTTTAAATAATAAATTAGTAATCAAATAATTGGTTTAAGAAGAGGTAACCGAAACTTCTCTCCAATTTAGATGAGATAGTTTGACTCGACACGGAGTTTAAGAAAACAAAAAAGACTTTTAAAACTTGTGATTTTAAAAGCTTAAGGGGTAAAAGTTTTGTGATGCCATGACATTTGTGTGATTATAAATGTTTCTCATTAAAGGTAAAGTGGGTAAAATGATGAGTTTAAAATTGAATTATTTTTAAATTTAAAAATGTGTCATTTATTTTGGAACAGACTAAAAAGAAAAGTATCTAATCTAATTTGAAACGGATGTAGTATTTTTTATATTTATATAAGAAAAACTTTAAGATTCTCATTTTTCTCTTATTCTACAAGTGAGAGTTTAGCGGCTCTCCGTCAATATGTCTGTTTCACTACAAGGGTATTTCCGAAATTTCATACTTTATCTGTTTTATAGGTATTGTACATGTTAGCTTTATCACATGTACACGCTGATAAATTTTCGGGGCCCACATGAATTTCCCAGCTTTGTTGAAATGGCCATTTCCTAATCACGTGGGTCCCTCAACAGTAGCAGCTTTTTTATGATCTCTTTTTGCAGCCCATTTACTGCCTATACCCAACTATCTTTTCCCTTGTATTCTCTCGTCTATCAAAACAAATTTTTCTTATCATTTTCTGTGCAAATTTTTATATTATTTGTAGTTATAAATAATGTATTGTCAAGTCCCAGAATCCAAATTCATTTCTATGTTCCTTGAAAAGCTTTTCATAATGCCTTCGTTTTTTTTTTTTTGAATTTAACCTTTTAAATTTTTTACTATCCAAATCTATCTCACCTAAAAAGGATCACCTTGTTAACTTTTAAATTTCAAAGTTATTATCCATTCCAATTTAAGCTCAATTTTATTGGAGTAAAGAAAATAACAGTATACGAACCTAATACAGTGGAGATAATACAAAATATTTTTTTCTTAATAATAGATTACTATAGAAAATACAACATCATACAAACCTAATATTGTATAAGTAATACAGGATATTCATTTTCAAAGAAGCAAATATTTTTTGTTCAACAATTTGTAATAAAAGTAAAATGAATTAGGCACACATAGTGATATGAAGATTAAATTCTGAAATGAACAATAAGCAAGCAAAGTTCAATAGTTTAAATACAAGTATTATCAGGTTACATAATTATACCTTACGCAATTTACTGTAATATTGTTGGAGGTATTAGCTATTTTACAATGATATTAAAGATTGATTCTCTAATAAAGTAGAAGAAGATCAAATACATCATGCTAATATTATAAAAAGGAGCAAGGACTTACTGAATTTTTATAGAAGAATAAAATAGACAAAGAAGGATTTAATTGGGATCTGGAGGGTAAAAAGATAAAACGACGAAGTACTACTTAGGTAGCTATCTATAGTTATAGGAATAGAATTGATTTATGATACTAATGAAAGGGAATTATTACCATACTGAAAATATAAAATAAAAATTAGATATTTTGATCATTATACCATGCTATTGTCTTTTTTACAAAGACAACGAGAATAATATAGTTATAACTTAATATAGGTTTTAGTCACATTTTATTATACATCCTTTTTCCCTTGAAAAAATTGTCTAACACAAGTTAGTTTATGTATAATCTTGTAGGGTTTGAATTCAATTTTTTGTAAGCGTTCAATAATATTCGATTAAGGTTTAAAAAAAGTATTTGAAATTGAAATTGAAAAAAGATTGTACATTATGTTTGGACATGAACTTAAAAATTTGTGACTGAAAACCATATTTATTTCGTAATAAAATTATTAATTAATTGGAATTGTATTAGTTTTTTCATTTGAGTTTGGGCCCGTGCACATCATGGGCTATCCCTCACTAGTATTACTTAATAAATGTCACATGTTTTCAACCACAAACTAATCAAATATTTTCACATAACTTAAACTTCATGATAACAACATCATTAAATGTTACCTTTGCCTTTGGAGTTCCCATCAATGACAGCCCCATCAAAGCGAAGCGGGCGAAACATATTCGGGTCGGGTACCGTTTCACTGCTATGGACAACTGGAAGAGCAGAGTCTGAGTCACCTTCTCCTCTCTTGTCGACTTCCTTTTCTACCATATCCCTTTTATATCCTCCTCGAAGCCGCTGAAGAACTCTTTGAGCTTTCTCATATTCCGTCATGTTCCAGAAACATCCAATCCAAATCTTTTGATAAACTCCAATTCATCAATAATTAGCAGTGCAATATGCAACTCAAATTTAGAGTTATAATTGTATTGAGGGCTGATGACAGTATTAGCGGTGGCTTAAGGATGAGGAAGATTTTGGTTAAGATGTTTTATTCTTATAGAGTATATTTTTGGGTTGGGTGCTGCCGTGCCACATCACAGTCTATGGACTTGTTCCAGAATAAGTGTGCAACTATTTAGGATCTTATTTATTGAACAGTTTGGTAGTTTAACTGAATAGAAGGCAGAAAGCTTAAATTAACTAATCAATTAAAGTTAGGCTCGTCTTGCATTTATGACATCCATTGATTTCTGGCCGCAGCTTTCAGTTAAAAGATTAGACTTGGTTTCCTTATCCAATTTGTCTCATACTCCATGTTTCAGCAAATAAAATTAGTACGTTTGAATTGGTTAATTAACTTCTTTTTCAAATTCAGCTGATAAAATAAGTAGAAGCTAACTGATTAAAGTTAAAGTGGAAACTATAGATTAATGGGATGGATACCACTATTACTGCTCTTTAGCACAGATGAATTGATTTCCTCTAAATTTGCGAGAATTACATTTCATCGGAATTAATACACACATATACAGCCACAGTAGGGTACACAGATCTATTGTATGCAACCTTACCCTGCAAGAAGTTGTTTCCACGGCTCGAACACTTGACCTCCTGATCACATCACAATAAATTTACGAGTTATGCCAAGACTTTTTTTATACGGCAACAGTAGTAAACATGTAAAAAGAATCACGCTTGATAATTTTTGCATTTACAAAAACTTTGTCATTCTTCTGAGATGCTTTCTAGACTGGGATGCCATTGATCAAAAGACGAAAGTCTGGTGGGTAAAACTCCCGTTGATGTTTCATTGCAATCCACATGAGTTCTTTGATTCCTATTCAGAAAATTGGTTTCAGAGGATCCCAAGCTACTGCTTGATGATCTTGTTTCAGTATTACTCATCACATTTTCCCCGCTACCGGATTTATTAATCCTGATCCCTGTTAACAAACACGTAAAGCAATTATCACCCTGGGATTGGACATTTCTGTTTTCTTCTTGTCTCAGAGAAGAATAAGCCAACTTTGAAGTCTTGGTTGAATTTCTATGAAACAGCCAGCAATTCGAAAAAGTGCCTTCCTTATTTCCTTTAAGACTTGATTCTTTCTGAATTTTATGAATGAGAGCTGGAGAAGACTTCAAGGCGAGCGATTGAAGTCTTTTAATGGTTTTTATAGGCACAACATAGAATTTCTGGCCAGGCATGAGGGTGGTTTCCGGTGGCAAAATAGCACACGGCTGCTGGAAAACGCTCGGATGGCAAACCCAACTCTTGGGATTTCTATTGATAATCTCAGCTGCAAGAACTGGCCCGTCGTGCAATTCTACATGTCCTCCTGGATGTACAATCTTCACAAACATATTTTTAGTATTACGACTGCATATCCAGTTCGAAAAGGCCATGATATTCCAAGCACATACCCCAAATTCTCCTTTATTTGTTTCCTTTACCTTCTATTTTGGGTGTCAGGGGTAGAGTAGAATCAGCAGAATTAAGGGTTAAAGTGGGATGGTTGATGAAACATGGCAAAGTTTTATAATACTATTGTGTTTAATGTAGACATCCTTAGATATTGCCGTGACAACGATATCTGGTTACTAAGAACGGGAATCTTGCTGTAAACAATAAATCCCTTCGTGTGTCGTTCAGCAATCAGGAATTTGGTTTAATCGTTCTTTAAAAGGAAAAGGCATTTTGAGGTATGGATATTGTCATATTAATAAAGGAAATAAGTGCAACTGGGTAGTCCACATCTTGGCAGTCTTTTTGTTTTAGTGTGTGAAAAAATAGACAGCTGATATACCGATGGAAGCCAGTTGCTGTGACTGGAAACTTCAAGAAAACATGTTATTGACACTGGTTTTCCAGAAAGAAAATCTTCAAACTAGGCAAAACAGTGTTATCCTTTTGTCTTTCTGAATGTGAATGCTATTTCACCAAAAATGCGTTCAAATTGTACCACGCGACTTCCTAAGAAAAGGAACTGGATATTCTTTTTCCCCTCTTTCAGAATGCCAATTCCGTTTCATCTCAAAGCCTTACTATTCTAAACTAAATGTGGACAAACAATAGAGAAGAAGAACAGCAGGGCTCAGGCCCATCATAGTTGTTACTTGTTATTTCAGATCCAACGCGATTTAACAAGCGGCTGATGAGAAACGACCCTTCCTTAAAAAAGGATGGCAATGTATCATTTTTAGCATGGGCACATGCAATCGTTGTTGAGGTCCCAGATCCACAAATATTGTAGGCCATACTACACATGGTGGGTGGGCATTCATGACTTATTAGACACTTCAATTCTTTTTTTGGGTGTAGAAAATGGCCAAAAAGAAACTGTAAGATAAAACCAAAAAAAAAAAAAAAAAAANGAAAATGGCCAAAAAGAAACTGTAAGATAAAGCCAAAATAAAAAGTCAATTGCTTGAGTGAGAGGCAACATTTTTATCCTATCTGCCAGGATATGCAGAAAAGACAACACGTGAAACCCAACTAGGTGGGAAAAGGTGGGTTTTGGCCGTCTGCCAGCTAATAGGTATTCACAGACAAGAAATAAAGAGAAAAGAAAATTTTTGTATGCACAAATACTGGAATATTTAGTGAGTCATTCTTTACAGTAGAAGCATCACAGTTCCTCTAATACAGAAAACAACCGTGTAAGGCCAAAAATCTGAGCAAACTTGAAGTGAGATCAGAGCTTTTGCTACCTCAAATTTACAATTATATACACATAGCATACATTTTCTTTTGGCTCTAAATTCATAGCAAAAATTGCATTGACAAATAAAACAAGGAAAAAAGAAAGGTCAAGTTGTTCATTCAGTTACCAGTTTCAGTGGGAGCACAAGTAACACCAAGAGTAGCTGAAGTAAATTTGGAACGTAGCAACTCATCTCGTTATGCGTTAATATATACCGCAGAATCCACAACTCTCAGGGATCCACCTAGCTCGATTGGTACAAGGGGAATGAAGGAGTGCAGGACATCTGTTATCAGTGGTCGGTAACTTGGTTCTGGTTGTACACACAGCACGGCTACAGCAGCAACCTATCAAATCATCCGTTTTGATTCGGTAAGTTAAATCAGTAAAATGAAAGTAATAATTTGACAAAAGAGGTGGGTGCACGGACTTGATACAAGTGCTTGAGGTCCATTCCGTTTCTGATGACAGGATCAACAATAGTTGGGAGCTTTGACCTGTCAGTAAGCTGTGGCATTGCCTGCTTCGCATGGAATTACTGAAACATCAGTATTCCAGGAAATAAGGAGATAAAGAGCAAACACTCAAGTATGATTAGTAATTGCATAAATACCCATGTGACTATAGATTGGCACTGAGCTCCCGCTAGTTTCTCCACTGGTCTTTTCCCCATTAGAAGCTCCAGAAGTATAATGCCGAAAGCATAGACATCACTCTTATCAGTTAATTTCCCTGAAATGCAGCAAACAAATGTGAAAGAATGTTTTACTTTCAGATTTCTGGTTAGGATGTTATTTGAGACAGGAAGAACAATCAATAATAGCACAGTAACTGAATTCTGCTTTTGAAATAAGCTAATCAAGATAATTATTGCCGGGCATTAAAATTTACATTTCAATCTTAGAATACTACTCCCTTCGTTCTCTTTTATTTATCCACTATACCAAAAAAGAAATTTGCTTTTACTTGTCCGCTTTAGCAAATCAAAATATTTTTTTTCCTGTGTTACCCTTATCATTAACTACTCATTCCCAAATCATTTCCCTAAGACTTTTTGAAATGCTATCATTATTATGAATATTATAGTGAAATATGTACTTCAGTTAATATTTCTCAAGGGGAGCGCAAAGTACATTGTGGACAATTAAAAGGAAACAAAGGGAGTAGTTAACATTTTTTCCTTTCCCTTTTGTTCATTGTGACACAGAAACAAAATTGAAGATAAAATGGTGCATCAAAAGGGAGTCAAAACATTAACCCTAAGTTCAGATATATCTTGGGGAACAGTCATCATACTTGAGAAGAAATGAGAAGCTCGTGAACAAAAGAAGAGAAGCCTTTCCTGTTCATATAATCTTATTGTAGATAAATAAAATATGTAGAGTAGAAATTACTGCTAGGAGTACAATTTTACTAACTCTAAACTGAGGGCAAGAGCTCAGTGATGATGATGCTTCTTTGGATATGATTTTGTACGTGGATATATGAATTCTAGGAGGGAGCAATCTTTTCTAATCTGAGAGGAGCGAAGTGAAGATAATTGTTGGGAGACACTTCTATGACACAAAAGAGAAGACAGAACAATTAAATTGGACTGTCTACTTGATGAGGCAGATTCGAACAAATAAACATCAGCACCATCTTCATTTAGCTAATTGTGATGAAGTAGGGGATCTCACATACCATCTAAGAGGTACTCGGGAGCCACATATCCCAGAGTTCCTGAAAGCTTTACGTTGCTCTTGTTTAAGTTCCATCCAGCTATAGCTAAGCCAAAATCAGAAAGCTGATCAAGTAAAAACTGATCGACTCAGAAAAAACAGACCATATGAAAAGTTTGCTAAAGGAGAAGAAATTTGAGATGTATGTGACTATATTGCTGGCGGTTTACCTTTGCATTGAAGTTGGAATCCAACAGAACATTAGACGATTTGAGATCTCTATGGATTACAGGGGGGTTACAGCGCTCATGGAGGTATTCTAGTCCCCTGGTCAATGTCAACATCGTAATTATACTATTAACTTCCAAAACCGCAGAACTGAGGGCGAAAAAGAAAGAGTTAGCACTAATAAATCATAATGTTACATACCTAGCCACATCCAATGCAATTTTCATGCGAAGATGCCAACTCAAAGCTGATCCACGAGTAGGTCCTGATCAAGCAGACCGACTCAATTATGGGAAATGGATAACAATGTAAATAGCATATTGATATTCTTTTGTACTTTATATCAGAAAGTAAATAAGGCAGATTTTACCATGCAATTGGAATTCCAAAGATCCATTCTGCATCATTTCATACACCAGAAATTGTGCATTTGCATGAATGCAGTACCCAAGAAGCAAAATAATATTTTGATGCTGAAATTTACTCAACAAGTCCACCTCATTCTGAAATTCAATCAGACATGACTTTTAGCACCAAATAATTACAACCATTACGGGGAAACAATTCGGGTCAAAATCTATCAGATTACCTCAAATTCT